TGGGCTGTTGTGGGATTTAATCAGTGCTCTCAAACTGAAAGTATTACACTAGGGGTTTGAATGACCATGTGTCAGGGATATTTAGATGGGAATATGAGAATACTTTATTCAGCAAGAAGTTGGATTAGTTAATACTCAGGGTCTCCTCCAATTTGAATATTATGATTTTTAAAAAAAATTTAACATCTTTATCGGAGTATAATTGCTTTACAATGTTGTGTTAGTTTCTGCTGTAAAACAAAGTGAATCAGCTATACATATGCATATATCCCCATATCTCCTCCCTCTTGCGTCTCCCTCCCACCCTCCCCATCCCACCCCTCTAGGTGGTCACAAAGCACTGAGCTGATCTCCCTGCGCTATGCAGCTGCTTCCCTATTCTTTTGTTGAACTTTTTAGCACCATTGGCATTATAGAGCATTTTCTCCACACTGTCATAACTTCTGGTTTTTATAATTTGTTATTGTCATATGTAGTCAGTTCATTTCCCTGATTCAAACTGAATTAGCAAACTGAAATTTATAGTCATCTAAGCGTGCTTCAGGTTATCTTTTCCTCATATTTTAGATAACCCATATTTGCTTCTTCCTTTTTCATGGTGTTATTTTTCTTCTTCCCTTTTTATCAGTAACTCTGGCTAGTCCGACTTTGCTTTTTATATCCATGTCTTGATAACACACCTCAATTAGCATTTTTTTTTTGAAGACTAACTTTTTACAGCAGTTTAGCTTCACCACAAAACTGAGGGAGACGGTACAGAGATTTCCCACATGCTGTCCCTATACCCGTTGTCAGCGTCCCCCACCACAGAGTGGTATGTTTGTTACAACTGGTGAGCTTATATTCAGTTAGCTTTTAACGTTAGAACCTCAATCACGTGAGACCATCTTATGAAACCATTGAGTGCCTCTAATCATTTGCATTTTATTGAGCTTTTACTTTTCCAAGTCTTTTCCTCTGTATTGCTTCATTTGAGTAAAGCTGACAACAATTGCATTCCCTCAGATAGACATTATGCCACTTAAACAGAGGAGGAAGCTTAGTGAATACACCCACGACATCCTTTTTTCATTTCATTAACCCTATACCACCCCAACTCTTCTACCTTAAACCATATTGACTCATTTTTCATTTCTCGGATTATTTCTGCTACCTAGATTGCTGCCATTTTTATGTTGCTTTCACCTCTTAAACAAATCCATTTTTAGTCATCTTTCAAAATTTTTAATTTCCCTTAGTAAAAGGTTTGAGCCATGGATATGAGGTGTCTTATCCAGATCTTTCCATTTATTCATGCATTTGTATAAAAAAAAGAAAATGATTTCCTTTTTTCTCTTGTCAGGATGAAAAAGAGTTTGTCTCATTATTTCTTTTTTACCCATTTTAATGTCTCTGTATTTCACTTTCCAGATTCCTAATTTCTTACTGTATATTTGTGGCTTATATAGTATTTATATTAATCATTCCTTTACTATTAATCTAGATTAATGTTCTACTAATTTTAAGTGGCATAAGTTTGGAACTCAAAAGATATGGTCTATTTAATTTGTTTAAAAAAGAGTATACACATATAAATTCTTTTATTTATTTATTTTTGGCTGCGTTGGGTCTTTGTTGCTGTATGCGGGCTTTCTGTAGTTGTTGGGTCTTTGTTGCTGTATGCGGGCTTTCTGTAGTTGTGGCGAGCGGGGGCTACTCTTCATTGCATTGCATGGGCTTCTCATTGCAGTGGATTCTCTTGTGCGGAGCACAGGCTCTAGGTGCATGGGCTTCAGTAGTTGTGGCGCTCAGGCTCAGTAGTTGTGGCTCATGGGCTCTAGAGCACAGGCTCAGTAGTTGTGGTGCATGGGCTGAATTGCTCCACAGCATGTGGGATCTTCCGGACCAGGGATTGAACCCGTGTCCCCTGCATTGGCAGGCAGATTCTCAACGACTGAGCCACTGGGGATGTCCCACATATAAATTCTTAATAACATTTAATGAAGAGAATGACTATTAACTGACTATTAAGTTAATTGACTATTTCCTCTATCCCTATAAGCCTTGCACACATATATAGTTTGTGCTCACAGTTCAGTACAGTTTTACTACTGAAAGGGGAATAAGAATATGAGAATGGGTTCTTTTTGGTATGTATTAAGTAGTAAACAGAAATGCATGTGAAAAATGAGAACAGTATAGGTTTTTAAATATTATAAGGAATCATAGAATCAATTAAACTAGTTTTGTCCTTTATTCTTTTAATAAGGTATATTACTCTGATTGATTTTTATATGTTGCACCAGCTTTGCATTCCTGGAATTCTGTTTTATACATCTTATATCTTCAAAGACAGATGTAATATTGGTAAATAGTTGACACTCAATAAGTATTTGTTTAATAAATGAGAAGATAAAAGAAATAATGGTAAGCAAAAATCACTACAGGTTTTAAGTTTGTGATTGAAAGCAACCAGTTATATATACTTGCTTATTTAAACCAGCTTAGGACAAAACTATTCAGTAAAGCAAAACTTATAGATTACATAAATAAATAGAATGGATAGTACTATATTTACATAAATGCTGTGAACATTCTTTAAATCAAAGCTGTTACGTGTATGATCAGGTTCTTAGTAAAATATTTCTTTGTAGCTGAATTATTTGATTTAGTGAAACAAATCAATCAGTGAATATGAATTAACATATGCTGAGTTGGAGCCCCAGACTGGCAAACATTGGAGATACTCAGTATCTTAGAATGGGAAATCAAGCATAAAAACTTTATAGAAGTTTTACTTTTATAAAGGTTAGAAAAGGAAGTCAGTGCAGTCAGGATACAAAGCAGAGATTTTATCTAATTGTGTATGGTGGTGTAAGCATCCAGGACTCCTCAAAAGAGCCTTATCAGTAGCTGTACAGTTTCAGATGACATATCTGAGCGTCATACTCTCTGAAAGTTTATCTGTCGTCTTTAGGCCCAGCCTTATATAAATGGGGCTATAGCAGACCAGAATAACAGCCTTGCCTATATATTGAGCAGGTCAAAATGTTTGTTCAGGTTTTTCTGTAACATACAGAAAAATGAACGTTTTGGCCAATCCAGTATACGAAGGAGATTTTCCTAGCCTCAGCAACCAGAGAAGAAAAAGAAATGAAAGGAATCCAAATTGGAAGAAGAGAACTAAAACTGTCACTGTTTACAGATGACATGATACTGTCCATAGAAAATCCTAAAGACGCTACCAAAAAACTACTAGAGCTCATCAAAGAATTTGGTAAAGCTACAGGTTACAAAATTAATACACTGGAAAGGCTCTGAACCAGCTATAGAGATTATCTAATCCTAGAAAATTCCAATGATGGAGTTTCACAAGAATATCTTTTAAGCACTATGAAAGTTAAATGAATCTTAGGCCACTGTCTTCCATAGCTTTATGGTAAATCAGATTTTAAATTTCTACCATTTAATTTCATATTTAAAATTCTTACATGTCTCAGTACAGTTGACCCTTGAACAATATGGGGGTCAATCTGCATATACTTATAGTCAGCCCTCCATATCTGAGGTTCCTCTGCATCCATGGATTCAACCAACCATGAACATGTAGTGCTGTAGTATTTACTGTTGAAAAATATCCGCATTAAGTGGACCCACACAGTTCAAACCTGTGTTGTTCAAGGGTCAACTGTAATTGTTAACAAAACATGTAAAAGAAATGACTATTTGGGGTATGAAAATCAGAAGTGTTTAAATCTACTGGAAGAGAGAAGGCATTATTTCATATCTTTTTCTGAACATAACTTAGTTATGGTCCATCACAGAGGCTGTAGGAATTTTGTGTGCCTTCGTAGCCAATATCTGAGAAGTGCAGTCGATAACTTTCTCATCTTTCTTCCTTACTCACAAAATTACTGCAGTTGATACTATGCAATGAGTTCTCTGTTTACGGGGGGTGGGTTTTGTTTATTTTTGTATCTTTCCTAGTACACGGTAACAGACACAATATATATTATAAATTTATTTATTTATTTTTGGCTGCATTGGGTCTTTGTCTCTACGTGGGCTTTCTCTAGTTGCGGTGAGCGGGGGCTACTCTTCGTTGCGGTGTGTAGGCTTCTCATTGCAGTGGCTTCTCTTGTTGCGGAGCACAGGGCTCTAGGCACGTGGGCTTTAGTAGTTGTGACACGTGGGCTCAGTAGTTATGGCTCACGGGCTCTAGAGCGCAGGCTCAGTAGTTGTGGCGCTTGGGCTTAGTTGCTCCATGGCATGGGGGATCTTCCCAGACCAGAGATCAAACCTGTGTCCACTGCATTGGCAGGCGGATCCTTAACCACTGCTCCACTGGTTAGGGAAGTCCCACACAATATATATTAGATGTTCAAAATGTCATTGATATTTTTTAGTTGTCGTCTAAGGCCAACATGTTTACATTCTCTCATAGTTGTTAGAGGAAGATACAGAAACATAACTGAAAAAGATGGAAACAAATAAGTGTGCTTTTAGTTTTTTCCCCTAATCTATCCATTTTTCTTTTTAATAGTTGTGATATTCAAGGAATTCAGATTTTACTTTTTACTGCAGTTTTGAAAATTCACACAAACTCTTCCTTATTTTTGATGAGCTTTGAAGTTGCTACTCTGCTGCTTTAATCTTACTTCCATACTGATTGATATCTTTGATGCAGAGTTCTGAAATAAGCTTACCTACTTGGAAACTATTGAGATTTTTCTGTAGGTATAGTCTAAAATCATTTTATGTGTCTATAAGTAGAATAGATTAAATGAACATAGCAGTGGAAGTTTTACCTCTATTTAAAATAATAATGTCTCCAATTTAAGTGGTAGATTCTAATATATGTGTAGCAATTTCTTCATTACAGAGGAAGATTTTACTTCATATCAGCCTTCATATTTTGCAAATATCTCTAAAGAAAATATGTAGAATAAGTGTAAATTTAAACTTTTTGAAATATTTAATGTTCAGAATTTCTAACTTTGCTGTTTGTCCAAATTCCTCAGGCAGAAGGGGCAGCTGGCTGTGGAAAGAGCAAAGCAGGTAGAAGAGTTTCTACAGCGAAGACGGGAAGCGAGGCAGAACAAGGCTCGGGCTGAGGGGCATATGGTAGGATTTTGTTTTTGAGATTTTTGAACATGTTAGTATTCAAAGTGAAGGTCTGGAACAAGGTAGGTATAAACGCCAAGAGTCGTAATCCTTTACAAACATTTCCTCTGAACATTTGCAGAGCATTTAACCTCTCTTCAGCTATTTCTTTTATGCCAAGCGTGAAATTCTATTGTTCCTTGGTTAATTGAGAGTAAGTTCGTAGCTGTATCCTTCCTTTTAAAAGAGTTGAAGTAGGTATAGCAACCCAGATATTTATATTAAATAAATAAGTTCTTACATTACTTTTTTCTTCCAATATGCTTCTGGTTTTAAATACTTTTAAGTAGCAAAGAATTGTAGAAGAAAAATGGGAAATAAACATTTGGGTAAATATACATGTAACTGCGTTTACTCAAAAGTAAATTAGAAACAAAAGTATTTTAAAGCCTCTAATTATTCCAGTTAGCTGAATTAAGTCATGTACATAAGAAAATATTAATAGTTTTAGATCATCATTTCAGTAGTTAATAGTTTTGACTTGCAGAGGTGCACAAATGCCTTTTCACCTTTTGTCCACAGAACAAATGGTGATTGTTTGTCAGCTCAGCACCCGTGAAGCATCATGCTAACGTAGAAAATAGGTCAATTGTATGGTAGTGTGTTTTCTTTAGACTTAGATTTACTGTAAGTCCATAAGTGATATCTTTATGAGTTAATTAATATAATTATTCCAATTTAGGATTTTTTTTTCTTTGAAGTAATATCACAGAAAAATAGTTAAATTTTTTAATGGCTACCCTGTATATGTGTAACACCCATGAGCTTGTTTTTCTAATACCTGGAATTAATCTGTATTTGTATCCTCTCTGTAGACAGAGGAGAACCTCCTTTGTTTTCCCTTGCCCTATTTCTCTTATGTTAGTAGCATCTGGAATTTTAGTTACAGATTTTAAAAACAGTTATTAGACTTACCAAGATTTACACATTTCTTTCCTCAGCACAGTTCCTTATATACTACTGTCCTCCCTCAGTTTGTCTTCATGATGGAGACTATCCTCTCGTAACCTTTTGGAGAGAAACTGCCAAAGATTTGTTGGGGAGGTCCTTATTTTGTCTTCACACTTAAATGTTAATTTGTAGTGGTGGTCTGCTGGTGAATTTGCTTAGCATTTATATGTCTTAAAAAGCATTTTGTCTTCTTTTTTGAAAAATATTTTTGCTGGATGTAGTCTTATAGGTCGAGAGTTCTTTTTCGTTCAGTTCTTTAAAGGTGTTTCTCCACTTACATCCTGGCACGCCGGTTCTGACCAGAGGTCTGCTGTCATTCTTAAATTTTCCTCTGCGTGTAATGTGTCTTTTCTCTCTGACGGCTTTTAACATTTCCTCCTTATCGCTGGAAGTGGATTGATTTAGATGTACCTTGGTGTAGTTTTCTTCATTTTTATTTTGTTGGGGGTTCATTGAGCTTCTTGGATCAGTGGATTTATTGTTTTTATCAAATTTCGAAAAATTCAGCCATTATTTCTTCAAAATCCTTTTCTGTTCTCCTCTCCTTTTTCCTCTGGGTGCTCAGTAGCCATACGTCAGCTTGCTGATGCTCTGTTCATTTCTTTTTGGTCCTTTTCCTGTGTTTGGTTTTGGGTAGCTTCTGTTACTGTATCTTCAAGTTCATTACTCTTTTTGTCTGCTTTGTGTAATCTGCTCTGCTCTTAATCCCATCCAGACACTGTATATTTTTCATTTCAGATACTGTATTTTTTAATCTCTTAAAATTTATTTGGGTCATTTTTATACTTTCTATGTCTGTCTTTATAATACTTACACTTTTCTCTACCTTCTTGAACATATGGAATATGATTAGAGTCACCTTTTTAATGACCTTGTCACTAATTCTATTATCTGTGTCATTCCTGAGTCTGTTTGTTGACTGATTTTCTCTTCATTTGGGTAATCTTTTCCTGCTTCTTTACCTACCTGGTGATTTGTGGTTGGATGCCTGGCATTGTGTATTTTAGTTTGGATTTTTTGTATTTAAATACAAATGAATAAATTTATTCTGCGATGCAGTTATGTTACTTGAAAATAGTTTGAGTCTTTCAAGGTTGATTCTCAGCTTTGCTAGGCAGGTGGAGAACAGCTTTTCGTCTAGAACGCACTTGGCGCCACCACTCAGGCAGTACTCTTTTTTTTTGTTTGTTTTTTACTTTTATTTGCATTTACTTTTTGCAGCATTTATTCCGGGGCCATAAGTTTTTGTTTCTTCAATTTCTTCGGGGATATCTTTTTCTTCTGGGCAACCTCCTCTTCTGCTTTAGGAACAATCTGGTTTTTTTCAGTAAGGATCATCTCAGTGTGGCAGGGAGAGCTCATGTATAGGTTGATCCAACCATGAGCTGTGTAAGTCCTGCGCTGCGTCTTGGGGGCTTTGTTCGCCTGGATATGCTCAATGACCAGAGACTCTACATCTAAGCCCTTAAGTTCAGCGTTACTCTCTGCATTTTTGAGCATGTGCAGTAAAAATTCAGCACTCTTTTTGGGCCACCGACCCTGCGTGCAGCCCCACTGTTTGGCCTGGGCACACCTACCAACTCCACCATTGTAACGACGGAATGGCACACACTGCTTCTTTAAAGTGACATCCTTCAGATACTTGGTGGCTTTTTGGATATGCATACCCTTAATGGCCTGGGCCGTTTCACAAGTGTTCTTAAAGTGAACACGAAGATTTGAACCTCTCGACTTGCATGATTTTGTGGGGTTTTCTGGGTCAAGTGAATAGCGAACCATTTTCAGAGGTCACCTCAGGCTGCTTACCGGAAAAGCGAGGCAGTACTCTTGACGCTCTGATGATGGATTGGTGGTACTCCAATGCTCTGTTGATTTGGAGGCCTTTCTAGTCTGGCTGTTGGAAGTGTGATGTGTTCCCAGCCCTCAGTGAGCCTGAGGGATTGGTGACGTCATGGTAACCGTCCCTCAGCAGGAGACTCAGGGGAAACCTCTGCCGATTCCAGGACTCTCTGGGCAGCTCTCTCTTCCTTGGTACCCCTTCCTGCAAATGGTACTGCTCTTCAGCCTCCCAAGCTCTGGCTGCTGTTTCCCTGACTCAGGACACCCTCTCCCTGTGCTGCAGCCTGGAGGCTGGGCAGTTGCTGAGCTTACCTCACTTGTTACCCTTCTCACAAGGATCACTGTCTTGTGCTGCCTGTTTGCCAGTGTTGGAAAATCGTTGTTTCATCCACTTTGTCCAGACTTGTAGTTGCCGAAGGTGGGAGGGTAGATCTGGTCCCTGTTACTCCAGCACAGCTGCAAGTGGAAGTCTTGGCTGGTAGTTTGCTGGGTGAAGAAATGTGGGTGGCAAGCTCTCCCCACCCCACCTTGAAGCTGCTGCCTCATCATGGTCTCATTGTCGCTCTCAAGTCTTGTGACGTGGTTTTCCTTAACGTTCCTCTGTAAGGGGTTTTGCCTCTCTGAAAGCTTTTGGCACCGTTTTTCTGCCTTCCGTGTTCTGAAATATCGCTTGAGTGTTCTCGGTATTTTTAATTGACCTGTCATGACTCTAACCAGATGCCTTCAGTCTGAGCACTCACCTTCAGTTCTGGGACAGTCTTAACTGACGCTTCTTCACATACTGCTTCTTCTCCTTTTTCTCCTTAAGAGAACTCCCGTTAAATGGATAGATTGGAACCTCTGCATCAAATGTCTTTTTTTCTGTACTTTTATTTCATCTTTTTTATCCCTTTGTCCCTTCTTACTGTTTTGGAAGGATTCCTGGGCCCGAATTTCAGCTCGTAACATGTTCTTTTGTTTTGTCTGCTCAGTGATGTTTTCTCTTAAGTTTAGAAACTTGTATTCTCATGTCCATGAATCTTCTTAGTTTTCCTTGAAAGCTCCGTGATCTTGTGCTCATTTCTCTAATGATACTTTGGTTATCATAAGGTCTTGTTCTTAGTGCACTCTTGGCCGTGTCACCTCGGTGTTTCAGTTTTTTTTTTCAGCAAGTCTGCCCCCTGTTTCATGGTACTGGCATCCCTCATACATTTAGTGTTCTTTCTGGCGTGTTCATGTTTGGGGGTGTCTATTTTGCCCTTCGTTGCCTCTGTTTGGGTGGCCCCCTGGCGAGATGGGGATGTGTTGCTGACTTCTCCTCTGTTCAGTTTTTCATCACAGTAGGGGATGGGTGGGACACATTGCTGTTCGGCCAGGCAAATACGTAGCAGCTTACTTTCTGGGCATTGGAGACCCCACATTCCTGGGTGTCACCGGTCACCTGGAGCACCGGCCTGGCCTTTCGGTCCGGGCTCTCTCATCACTCGTGTCTGAAGGGAGCTGCTCGCGGAGATGGACAGTGTGCTGGGTGACCTCTTCTTTAAGCGCCATTGCTGCTGTTCCCCTCGTGCCCCGGGTGCCAGCTCATCGCAGAGCAGTCTCCTGTTGCTCACATCTGCTGCCGAGGCCTCTTCCCTACAGGCTGTGCTCATGACGCTTCTCATCTTAAACCCACGTGTGTACTTTCCTTACCTCTGGGTTCCTTCTGTTCTTGGGACTACCCAGAGTTTCACTTGTTTGGGAGTGCTGGTATGCATTCACTTAACAACTTCTCAAGTGTAGAATTTTGGAAGAAGGGGAGGCCATGGTCTCACTGCAGTCAGATATTAGTATTTTCATTTTGTTGTTTTATCATTTTTAAAAGATGTGCTTTAGAAATCAGTGCATTTTTGACAGTGATTTTTATATGACTTTCCAAGATTCGTTTTGTTAACCTGTATAGAGTTTCTTCATTCCCTACATGACTATATGTATACGTGAAACTTTACTTTAGGAAAATGTGGCTAAAAAGTGAAGAATTTTTACTTTTCAGTATATTTGGGTGGATGCATCGTATATTACTTTCTTTATTCACTAATATAAGAACAAGGCAGTGTGTTAAACACTTTGGGGGTAATAGGTTAATTAATTGATTAAAGATGACTTAATTAAAGCTTACTCAGATATAGTTTCTCTCTGGAATAACTTAGAGT